AGATGGGTGACCAGGAAGGAGTAGTCCACCAGAGACCCAGGGTCCTTCTGTGTGGTCATTCTGTCATTCACAGTCCATGACCAAGTGGCAGAAATTCCCATTTAGGCAGCAAGGTGAAGGAAGGGTCAAATAGACAAGATATAAAGAATACTTATATGGTCTTTGGAGGAGAATTTCCTGAAGCTTCTACACAAAACTGTTGGCCAAAGCTCTGTCACAGAGCCATATCCAGCTGAACGAGAGTTAAGAAAATGCATTTATTGTGACTGTTTACATGGTGAAGGATGAAATCCCATTGTCTTGGATAAAGAGAGATTTGATAGTTTAAAAAAAAAGATAAACTCTACTATAATGCTTTAAAATTTTAATTTGTCAAATTCCTTTATAAAGTGTCATTTGAACTAGGTAGGAGCACTATAATATAAGGGTCACAAGACAATAAATCTTTTTGTCAAAAAATACAATAGGGGCTGGGCCTGTAGCTCAGTGATAGAGTGCTTGCCTAGCACATGTGAGGCACTAGATTCAATTCTCCACACCACATAAAAATAAAGAAATTAAATAAAGGTTTTGTGTCCATCTACAACTAAAAAATATTTTAAAAAATACTTGGGAAAAAATATAGGACTTAAAATGACCGTGTTTGAAAATAGTCATTTTCTATCCGTCTCTGAAGATAGATTTATTCTTTTTACCATTTTTGCATTTGCAGAAAAAAAATTCCATCTTATCTCATGTTTACATAGATAGCTTCTAGGTGTGTAAGTGAGAAAATCATTGCTTATTTCATTATGCCTTTCTTGAACTGTGGCATAAGTAAATGCCACAGTCACAGCTACAGATAATTTTAACCAAGCTACAATGTTGGTTACTCCTTCTATGTACTGAGACCTTGAGGTTCAGACTATGGCCTTTGAACACATTATTTCAGGACTAAGTTGCTTTGGCTGGAGTCCAAACTAAATGGTCACTAAATCTGCTCTATAGTTCCAGTCTGGTGACATTAAATGCACTGAGGATTGAAGAATTTTATTCCTCTCCTATGCTCAAGTCAATATGCAACATGAAGTAGATTTCCAAACATACACATCCCTTGCTCCTGAAGTCCACTAGCCTTGTGTCAGACCAGATAAAGTGATGATGAAGTAGCAGGTGCCGGTAGAGCAACTGGTAAGACCAATGAGGGTGGCTCTAATGTGAGTAGGTACAAACTGCTGCTATCTCCCTTTATTACTTCTCCTTTTCAGATTAAGTGACACCCGATGGCACAGTTGGGTCTCTCCTTCCCAAACTAGTTCCCATAACCTAGATGTTTCTCTATCTCATGTTCATCAAAATGACATATGCTTCATCTAATGACTTTGTTATCCTGACTATATTCCTTGAAAATTTCTATATTGTCAGCTCTTCCTGTTTTCTCCTCAATGTCTCACCCTTCTGAAATATGACTTATGTATCCAGCATTTCATTGCCTGATCATGTTGAATATGTCAATGTCCTTCTCACTGAAAATACAACAGCCACTTTTCTGTCCTCTCCAAAGTGAAAATTTTTATGGCATATGGACAATTCTTGTCCTTTAAAAATTATTTCCTCCCTGGCATAAATATCTCCGGCTTCTCTTCCTGCTGCTCTGTGTACAGACAATTGCATCAAATAACTCTTGCAAAAAAATATCAAATAAATAAACTGAATTTGTGTGGTTAGCAGCAACTCTGAGATGCTACTCATCCAAAATAGGTCATTATCTGTGGATGATATAAAAATTGTTGATGTGTAAGAATGCAGTAGCTTAGGACTTCTTACCCCACTGTGATTTTATTTCAAAAAATGTGCATATAATTATATGTATGATAACATATTTTAAAATATTTTATGTGCAGTTGATAGTATTCTCTGATGTCTATGAAAAAGGCTTTGGTTACTTATTATAATCTGGTAATGTGATCACGTCTATGGGATGCTGTCCCTATTATTCTAAAAAATTTTTTTTATTTCTTTGAAGTTATTTATATAATGCTGTATATTTTGCTTAATGGTTAGTTACCTAACTATCAGTTTTGTTAGACAAGAATCACATCTTTGTTTATCTAGACATACCTTATAAAATTGTGGATGGTTTAGGTCTTCAGTAAATAGTACACATTAAAGTGTTAAAACAGCTTTTTAAGGAGAAGAAAGATTTAAAATATTCTTTACAGTAGAAAATCTCCTTTCAACCATTTTAAATTCACCTAAATCTGCAGCCTTCATATTTTGACCACAGTATATTATATTACACATTTTTAATAGCTAGAAGGTATAAATTATAGCCAGATGTAGAAGTAGTATGACCTGACATGTGACTTTCTAGTTTATATAACAACTAAGTTACATAATCATAGATTCAACAGCAGTATTTTCTCCTAGTTACAATTTATTCCCAGCTATCTTGGCAAATAAATAACACACACACACACACACACACACACACACACACATCTGAGCAGCAATGAATAATATGAGAGCATGTTAAAATCTAACACAGCTTATAAAAGAATGTAAGTTTTCAGCTAGGGCTCTGAAACTGTAGCTGTGTGTCCTTTGCACCACATTGAAAAGATGCCATTCATTTCTGACTTTGATTAATGGGGCTTTTTAGGTGGCCAACTTTTTTTGACATTTAACAAAGATTGTGACTAAGGGTTTTTTTCTTATTTCAAGTCTAGCATCATTTCTAAATCCAATCAATTAGATAATAAAATGCTGAACTTGAATTATGGATTTATTATTATAAATCTTTTCATTATTCTATGTAGAAACATGTAAATTTTGTTCCGAAGGTGTGTGTCTCTGCATCCTGTACAAGTCACATCAGCAGTAGAATAACAACAAGGATGCCTAGTACCGACATGAGTCCTGACAGCCACACGAGGCCAAAAAATAGCAACAATGTCTAGAGAACTAAGCTAAGATGTGGATTGATCACAGGGAGTAGAAAAACTATTTCTCTCTGTGTGGCCCATCTTTATCATTTCTAAAACAATCAAGCAAACAAAAAAAATCTTAGAATTATTTTTGTATGACAATAAGTCAAAGGAGAAAAGGGGGAAAATGTCAATAGGCATTTTTTTAAAGTATTACTTTGAAGTCAAAGAACACATTCATAGGTGTCAAAATGTTAGTAGAAAGAAGAAATGTTGCCTTCATTTCCATCAGAGAGCAATTCCCAGCAACAGAAGAAATGAGGTCTGAAAATGTGCATTAAGAAAGGCTGCATACCATCATGTTACATATGTATTGAATAGGAATTTTGATAAAGAGTCCCAAGTTTCCAGGAAGGTACAGAGGTGGGGAGGGCTAGGGAAGATTTCAAAAGGTAATTACTGGCCTGCATTACAAAAGGAAAGACTAAGCAGAGCAACAGATACACAGAATAATTACAGAGTAATTAATATGCCCCCTTTTATCTTCTTTGGGGATTTTTTTTTTCACTTAGATAAAAATGAATCCTGACTGCTGCAGTATTTCATTTGGCAGGATATCAGGTAATTTATATTTCAAATATGATCTCATCATCAGTTCCATCTGTTGATATTACCTGAGCATCGTAATGTTTGAAACTCTGACATGTGGAAAACATAACTCAAAATCAAAGTCCCTGAATCTGACTCACATATAATCAGAAAGCCAAAAAAAAAAAAAAAGTGCTCTTATCCTGCAAGCACTGTGTATTCATTTCAAATCTTCACTTTTACCACCACCAGCTCCCTATCCTAACTCCAGAATTTAGGGAGGGAGAAATTATAGGCAACTGATATAGCATGAGCTCAAATAAGGGTTGGATTTTCTTAAAGAGGATTAGAATGTTTTGTTTATGCTAAGCTGTAAAGTGAAAAAATTACTAAAGTCTGTGATCCTAACCAATCCGTGTTTAAGAGTATTTATAGGTTTGAAGGATCTTTTCTCTTCCCTAATGTTACAATTCAAAACTGAGAGCTAGAGAAAGCAGTATGAAGATATAACTCCAGTACTATGATTATAAATTTATAATTCCTCCCTTAACCAGATGCTTGGACCAAGTGTTTTTCCTTCCCCACAGGTAGATCTGTGTGGTGGTTCTACTTTCCTGTCTTCACATAAAAAATACCTTCACCTCCAGACTTTTCAGCCCTCAAAACCAATGAAAGTGGTTTCTCCTTTGTGGGTTTTTATTTGTTTGTTTGTTTGTTTGTTTGTTTGTTTTGTCCCAGGCAGACATAACCTAGCCCAGGCAGACATAGCCTAGCCTTCCCTTTGGTCAACACTTTATCCTGAGTACTCTATCACTGCACTTTTAAAAACTAAGTTGCATTTGTTTATTTGAATGCCTGTCTCTTCTGTTGTCTTATGAGTACTCAGTCCCTTACCAAGTGATTATTCAACTCACTCCCAATCTACATCACTCCTGTAAAGAGAGGACAAGCTTAATACATAAAGCCTTTGCAGTATAAATCTGTCCATATCATCAAACAAGGCTCCGAAGGTAATGGCTCTCCTATGAATACCATTGTACTGTTTCTTTTATGTCTTCTCTTCCATGGTGGAACCAAAGCTGTTACTACTTTGCTCCAATGGGAAGTCAAAACATTTCTTCAAAATGAATGCTGTCTAGTGAGCAAAAAAACAAAAGGCATTTATGAAATTGATATTGACTACAAGTAATGGTAGACTTGGTTTTTAGTTTTCTCATCGAAAATGTGTCTAGACCAATGGAATATTCTCCAATAGAGCAATTTTGTGAGCTTTTACAAGAAATGGTGTTGCTACTTCATTCAATCAATAGCTTACGAGATTTTTTTTTGCCCTGAATACAGAAAGTAAGATCAAATGATTCTGAAACAGCGATTTAGATTTTTAAGTTTCTAAGGAATCAGTGTATATTTCGGAGCTTAAAAATATTGATGGAGACTCACTGCCTACATATGTCATTAAAAAAGAGTATAAGCAGGTTTTTAGTAACTCTTTTTCCCTCCCAATAGGATACTCAATACTTCAAGCTATAATGGAAAAAGCAGGACAAAATGGTTGGCATGTCAGCGCTATATGTGTGGAAAATTTTAATGACGTCAGCTACAGACAACTTCTAGAAGAACTTGACAGAAGACAAGAGAAGAAATTTGTGATAGACTGTGAGATCGAGAGACTTCAAAATATATTAGAACAGGTAAGTCCTATTATCTTATTATTCTTGTAATGGCAATCTTTGCCCAATTTGTCTCAAATAATATCTTCTCCCAACCATCGAGTTTAGAGTGTGAATTTTGCATGATTTTTCCCTGGGACCAAGTCATAGTCCTGATCACCAAAGCCCATTTTGGAACTTAGGATCACTGTTTCTGCTCAGTTTTTAACTCTTAATGATAGAAGTACCCTCAGTGAATCATCATGAGCTCCTTCTTGGCTTTCTGTTTTAAGAAATAATAATTTTGAAGATTACAGCTATGAAAATATTAGAAAATTTTAAAATGTGGGCCCTTTATCCTTTAGAGAATCAGCTGCATGAAAAACAGCAACACAAATTGGCAAAGCACTGATATAAAAAATGAAAGTAAATACTGTGTGTGGTAAATTTTTCTACTAGATGTTATAAGTAAATACATTATCTACTATGGTAAAGATGATCTTTAACTCTCCTTTGCAAAGGAAGAATCCTTTAATCAAGCTTTCAATAAATATTTTTATTTGCTTTAAAGGAGGCAGGAAAAGATAAAACTGAGCTTTGCCATTGCATTAAGTGATAGGAAAATATTGTCCGATAATAGATAATATTTGCTTTCCCCCAATCCTGCATATCATGATAAAGCTGTGGAAGTCTTCAGCAAAAATGCAGTGACTGTATGCCCTCTAGTGGTTTTACAAATGTATACTCATTTATCTACAATGGCTAGGCAACATGATTTGGAGTTGATGACTTTGTTTTACTGCATCATTATGTGATTTGATTTGTAATAGTAAACTTAGCAATTGGGAGGTTGATTTCTAAGAATAATTTTAGTTCTCAATTATAAAACATCAAAACCAAAATTGTTTCAGAGGTTCCTCCTTAATACTTAAAGGCACTGAACTAGATGTCTTCTTATTCCTCAACTATATGCTAGCATTTGTAATAAAAATAATAATAATAATGGTAAAAAGTGTGTTGCTTTTCCAAGACTTGAATCCAGAACATATTATAAGAGGAGTTGACAAAGTATTTACCTCCTATTATCCCTTTATAGAAGAAAAAGCACCAACTAAATACAAAAACACTTCACTGAAGAAAGGTATATACAATTGTATATTTGTTTTTCTAGGAAATATTAGTTATAAGCTTATATATATCACTGAGGTTTATTCCTGAGGGATTCCAAAGAAAATTATTAAGCTCGCAGCTATTCAAGACATGTGAACATTTTTAAGTAGTATTTATAGAATCCAAGAAAAACTTTCTCCCCTACTTTCTTAAGCAATGCAGTCACTTGAGCTCCAACTCCCCTTCTCTTTCCCTCTCACTCCCGACCCTGTATTGAGAGTTTGAGTTGTTTGACCTGAACAACTGAAGCTTTGTAAATAACTCATGATGACTCCCACAGAACAGCCAATTCTAAGAACTGCCTGCATTGCCAAGTTCCTGTCAGAGGGTGAGTAAGGCTCAGAAAGACCCTCCACTTAGCACCTGTGCTTAAAAGATGCAGTCTGGAGGAGGCAATTGAGTGCCCAAAGCACACTGACCCGTTTCAGAGGCTTAGCTGGTTTCTAAGAAGAAAATCAGCACACTCGGGTGCTTTGGATAAACTCTGAATAAACCTTAAAGGAGCTTCTGCTAAGGGAACTGAACTTTTTTTTTTTTCTGAAGAAATGTAAAAATTTGAGTGCCTACCTTGCCTATTCTTTTTGCTGAATTCTAAAAGGTTTTGTTTCTATCAAGACTATATAGGAAAAATGAGAATGGTAATAGTCTCTTGTCCCTTTAACTGCCTCTCAGGTACACAGCTCATAAATTAGAACAAACCTATTCTATTGTGAGAAAGTAATGCACTCTTAATTTTCCCATAACTTTCCCTCCCCCCCAAAAAAAAACTTTAAAAATAATTCTGAACATAATTTTTTATTATATGTAATTTAATTCCTCATTGTTTTAGGCAAAATGACTTCTAGTATTTCTTGGTTTTACTCTTGACTTATTCAAACAGAAGAACTAATCCAAAATTTGTCAGAAATTTGTACACAACCCTGAGTTTCAACAATACATCTGTATTTTTAAATTCTTTCATAAATTATGATAACATAGAAAATAATTTTAGGGAATCAACCATTAAACAATTTTAGAGAATCAACCATTTTTCAAATAGTGGTTACCAGAAACTGGGGAGGGAAGCAAGGGGGGAGAGGGGAAGAGATTAGTCAAGGAATATGAGCTCACAGCCAGACAAGAGAAATAAGTTCTGATGTCCTATTATACAGTTGGGTGATTACAGTTAACAAGGTTGTATTGTACATTTAAAAATAACCAAAGAGAATTTTTGCATGTCCTGAACACACACAAAAAAAAATAAATGTTTGAAGCCTGACCCAGTGGGGCACGCCCATAATGCAAATGGCTCAGGAGGCTAAGACAGGAGGATCAAAGCCAGCCTCAGCAAATTAGTGAGCCCTAAGCAACTCAGTGAGTCCCTGTCTCAAAAAAAAAGGGGGGGGGCTGGGGATGTGGTTCAGTGGTTAAGGTACCCCTGGTTTTAAATAAATAATTAAATATATTTGATCTGATGGATAAACTAAATATCCTGGGTTGATCAGTATACAATGCACATGTACCAAAACATCAGACTTTTACCCATAAAGATGTACAATTACTACAGCAATAAAAATTGTTTTAATAAAATTTTAAAAATAAAAGGTGAAATGCTAAATAAACTTGGTCAGCCAATTGCTTTTGAAAAAGTAGCCCTTCTCTCAGAAGATGATGAAATTAATCCAAATGAAGATGAGAGGATATATTATTAAATTTCTAGAAGGACAAGCACACTTTACATTATGTGGCATGCTGTCAGTAATCAATTCCCTGACACTTTAATTTGTATCAATTTGCAAAAACATAACAGAAATAGCCCACATGATATTCTTTCAACATACATTAATGGACAACAACCATATGTTAATGGATAGAGAAGCGTTTCATCTTCTGTAAATGTTTTTTAACTTATTTTTATGCCATGAACTAATTAGTTCTTATAAATGTGCTTCTGTTTAAAATTGCAGTTAGCCGTATACCCATTCAAACATTTCAAAAAGTGAACATCAGAATATTAAATTAAGTTTAGCCCTGAGGCTATCTTCTTGAATCCTTGAGTGATGTGTGATGGGCAACCTAATCTATTGCAGGTAGCTGAGGCTTAGTTCACCACAGCTGCTGAGCTGCACAGTCACCGGCAGCCAGCTTTTTAAAAATTAGGCAAAACACTGAAATGTAACCAATTAAGCTGTCATTTATGTCACTTTTGTTTTCTGTCCATAAATGTTGTCTGACTACTTTACAACCCTGGAAATCTTTGAACCTGCTCTAGTTCTGAGGGCCTGTGCAATTCTAGAATCTTAAATAAAGTCAATTAAGATGTTTAAAGTTGTATGTTGATATTTTGACAAGAATAAATATTTGAAAGTGTAGTTTAAGATATTTTTCCTTTCATGAAATGACATAAGAAAATGGAAGAAATTATGTAAATAACACCACTGGGCCATTTAAGGCAATAGAAATATAATGAAACTACAAAGTTAGGTTTACTGTGACTTTCTTTGTATCAAATTTAATCAAACAAATTGTATTTTTGGATCTCTAAATTCAATGGACTATTCAGTCAGTCCACCATCTCCAGGGGGAAAACATTTTTTAAATAAATTTACAATATTTTTCAAATGTTGGATGTATTTGTGATTAATTTTTGATAAAAGGCTCTAGTTGTGTTTGAATTAATACTACTAGCTGAACTAGAAGTTAGTACAGCCAGCACAATAGCACATGCCTATAATCCCAGCAACTTGGAAGGCTGAGGCAGGAAGATCACAAGTTCAAAGCCATCTTCAGCAATTTAGGGAGGCCCTAAGCAACTTAGCAAGACTCTGTCTGAAAATAAAAAATAAAAAAAAGCGCTGGGAAGATGGCTCATGGGTAAATGCCCCAGGGTTCAATCCTCAGTACTTATTATAAAGTACCATTTGGGACACTAGCTTTATTCATCTCACCTAATTTTCTTGAGTAATTTTGCATCAGTGGTTTTAGAATAGCTTTCAATAGCTTAAACTTGTTAAGTCCCATCATCTTTGAGGTGGGACACATGACAATTTAAATTGAGCACTTATAAAGCACTTATGGTAACTTTATAAATAAATGTTTTAGAGTTCTATTCATTTAAGAAAATAGGTGAATGGTTAAAGTCTTTGAAAAAAATATAAACATATTTCTCATATACATGAAAATATACATAAAATATATATAATCTCTAGATTAAGATTTTCAACCAACTTAAAGCACATGTGTTGATTTTGTTAAAATATTCACAGAAATAAAAACATCAAACAATGAGTTAATATAACTGAAATTGAATAAACTGCTTTTATGTCAAAATAAGCAGATTACAATAAGAGCCTTCTACCTATTATTTTCACACATTTCTATTACTTTTAAATCCCCAATTTCATACTTGCAGAATTCCTAGGGTTTCTACATTATACCTTATCAATTGAACATTTAAATATATTAGATTCTGATGTACATTTTTAACCCAGTAGCAAAAAAAAACAACAAACTAGACCTTAATTATCTTTTTGGCATCAAAATACATTTTGGCAAAATATCACTTAAGACTTAGTGACTGCTCAGACCTTTCACTTCACTGTGAAAACACCTTGGGGTCCTGCAGTTAGATGCTTGGTTTTCTTTTGTTACTGAGCCTCCAACTCTAATACTGTGGAACAGATAAACTGAACGATAGTGTTTAAAAACAGAGGTATTTTCACTCTTTGAGAGATAGATAAAAAATCTTCAATTGCTTATTTTTTTTAAAAAGTACATTGAATTACTTTATTCTTGTATCACCTATGTTTTGTCTTCTCGCTTTAAATAAGAAAAATTTATCTGAGACTGTCTTGAAAAACCTTGCTTGCTCTAAAAATCAATAATGCTCTTTC